CAACCTCATTGTCAATCCTGATTGCTGTAAGAGAGCTCGATCACTGCTGGGGCAATTAAAGCTGTGAGATCATCTCAACAATACACTTAGCTACACCAACACCTTGTCTTCATTCTTGTGATATACCAACATCAGACACCAATATTTTCACCTTCACGTCACAACAACTACGAGCGTGTGACAGCGTTATTGCAGCAGAACAATGTTTATGTGGTATCAATAATATGGATGCCATCTGCAATATTTATGTAATACTCACAGTATGCCTCCAAACATCTATATCGTGATTCCCAAACATTCCCACACGCTCTTTGTTATGACAGGGGCCGCCTGTCCTCATGTACCCCCACCGAAAAAAGATTGCACGTTAACTTGGCTAGAGCTAGAAAACCAAATATACAAGACCCATAACCCTTGTAGATGTGTGCAAATATGGCGGAAGCAGGGCGGTATCCGAATGAATGTTATATAAGATCATTATCTCTTGATAAATATTTCATGAATTCAAACCGAAGCCACGTGACTAAGAATTCATCCTCATGGCAGATTGCGCATCAGAAATAAGCAAATCTTGGTGCAAAAGTTGGCGTAATAATGTACACGTGTTTGAGGCTATTAATGCGAGAAGCTCGCAGGCAAGGAAATCTGTTACACAGGTAACGCACCAGCCAATTTTACAAACATTTCTGACTTATAATGTACTCCAGCTGTTCCTTGCTCCAAATCACTAAAAAACCCACACAATGAAAGAGCCGGAAAACCCATGTTGGAATTACATCTCCCTTGATAACACAGTCATAGCCCTGCACAAACAAAATATACACCAATGCAATAGAAAAACATACACCATGCAAAACGTTTCCGATAAATATTTGCATTTTGAAAATAAACATCTTTTATAGAGCCAGTCTCTGTTTAGTGCACTTGAAATGACAGTTTATATAATTTATACGCTTTGTGATTTAACCTGACCGTATTGTTATCTTTAGGGAAAGGCCATGTTTATATGAAGTTCTTATTCTGAATGGAATGCGAAAAACATGAAAGTGGAGTTGACATGTTTAAACACAACTTCAATCTTAATTTAGCGTCCACCATGCTCCATGACTTCAAAATATGTTAACTATGTCTCAATTGTTTCACACAACAAAAAACGAAAGTTTGCCTATTCATGTTATAAATAAATGTCAGTGATCCTTTCAATGAAAAATTTTCAAACGTTTGTTCAACACTGCACGGGTCTCATGTTTCTTAAACATTCTGTTTGTAACATAAAACTAAATAACAGTCACCTTTCACAATCTAGTTTTCAAATTAAAAAAATATAATTTGAAATTCAGTTTCTAAAACTGAACTTGATCTGTGTACAGGACCCAGGAGACTTAACGTGTTTTCCTAAAATCAGGAAATTTGATCAGAAAATTGGATTTACCTGAACGGTTCAAAAGACATGAATGGGCTCTCACCCTGGGGCTAACTACCACATAAACACAACCACTACCTTCACCTACACACGTTTTCAACCCCCAATGTGCTGTTTAGTAATCATTTCAAGCGTAGGTTAATACTGCCCCAAAAACTGATGTACTTCTTACAAAGGCCCATTTAAACAACAAAACAAAATCAAAAAGCCATAGACACTCGGCATTCTTTGAACTCATTTGTGAATTCTCCATGCAGACATCAGTTTCATTTCAACGTCATCACTTGAGCTGTTGAACAATTTGAAGATTCTGAAATTTCAATTAAACTCAAAAATTCACTTGAAAATACCATTGTTAACACATGTGGCAATTCGGCCCTCTTCTCCTTCCGATCTGAGTGCATTGTCAGGCGTGAGTCTGATCCCATATGGAACACATGCTATTGTGGCTAGATTTGGGGGGGACGGAAGAAAATAAACATAATACTCCACTTCTTATGTCATCGCAATCTTGTTATGACAAATACCTATCTAATAGGTCATCCTGTTTGCCGAAATTAAAAAAAGCTTGGTCATATTTCATCTAAATGCCATTTGTCTTGCGAGTTTGTATGACTTTCTATGCAATTTTTACATTTCTTTCTAGTTTTGTATCATTTCCAGTTTTGTATCGTTTCCAGTTTTGTATCATTTCCAGTTTTGTATAGAGTATAACCCACTTTCCTTCTGCTCCATGCATGCTATTTTGACGACTGACAAGAAATGTGGATGTAAATTCAGAAAACACATGGGTGTCAAATTTTGTCTCCATAATTTACAGTGTGTAGTTGCATAGCGTATGTCTCACACATACTCATTTGATGAGGTTTTTATATCTTGCATGCCGCTTTCACCAGGCCCTGATAATCATCTATTTCATACTTCAATATAAAACGTCAACGCCAGAGAATAATCAGCCTCAATTATCTGCAGGAACAGATTCCACTGGGTGTAAAAGGCAAAATAGTGGTGAAAATTCTATGAATGGTTCACTGAAAATCAGTGATGACACCAGGTGTTTGCGAAAATAATTATTCCACGCTTACAAAAACTTAGTCATGATAGAAATACCTTCCAGGAACTCATAAGTCATCAAATCCAGAAGGCAAATACTCCATGACAGGTACTTCAACTCAACAGAATACTTCTTGCCAAGCACCTCAGTCAATGTGCCCATTACACAACAGGAAGCCAGCTGGAAACACAGAATGTGTCCGATGTATTTCACCATTACCAGGTACTTCATATTGTGAGCAATCGGGTGGCCTAGTGGTTAAAGCATAAGCTTGTCATGAGAAAGGACTGGGTTCAATTCCAGAAATGAGTGCAATGTGTGAAGCCCATACAGAGCCCGCCAATGTGATATTGCTGCAATAATGCTAAAAGTGGTGTAAAACAATATTCACTTACTCATTCCTTCAAATTGCCTAAACCTAACAGAAAATTAAAAATGTAGCTGGACACATCCAACTGTTTTTGAGAGTTTCCAAGGGGTTGAACCATCTAAAGCTTAAAACTGGGGTATCTCCCAATCTCATTCTTCTACCCCGATATCATACCTCTCTGCATGAAGACCTCCACAGGAAGTCACATCAGGTCAACTTTTTGATTCAGCCAATCAGTGTCAAGGCTTCTTTATTTTTGGTATGTCAGCAAAACATTCAGACCAGCATATCTCATTTCCGTATCTCGAAAACGAATATAATCAGGGAGTTCCAACTGCCAAAAAGAAAAGCTGTGGCATGATATTGTTGTGCATATGTTAGACACCCTTACCATCTTGAGCGCCATGGTATCCACATACGAACAGAGTACCATCGAAGGAATGCTTGTGTTCTATCTAGGTTTTCAATTCCACAAATTGAAATTTCCAAATCTAGATGTAAAATCTAGTGAATCTGAATTGTTTTAGAAAGCTGACAACTGATTGGCTCAAGAACCCACACAGCCTTGTTATAGGTTGGGTAGTGAAAGTTGGTCCAGGGTCCCCCTGACTGGACCTAGCTTCTATGGAAGTGTCCTCAGCTCGGATTTGAATGAGACTGTAGAATCTTTAGCCCAGCATCTTGGAGGAGTCCAATGGCACACTAACAACAATGTGTCTGTTGTTACACAGAGTCCGCTTAATGAGTCTCACTTCTCCGCCTCTTCAAATTTCAAACAGCTTTAAAGATGCAGTTTCAAAATGTCCCACTTTACATAACTGACTGTTTAAGACAGCTTGACACTGGAGCCTGCCATGCCCTGATACCTCGTTAACCATGCGCTGAAACTTAACACTGTAAGATTTCTCCAAACATATCAAGCATGACAATCAATTCATGCATGTGCACATTACAAAATACATACACTTTCAAATCTTAGCAAAGCTATACATATGGGGAAGCTTGGGAATTTCTGCAACAAATTACACTGAATTGATCCATTCAATGACTACCAAACTGTTTCCCACATATGTGCAGTTGATGGTGCAGGATGGTTATACAATAACGCTGATCACAATACTGGCAAGCAAGGCAGGTGCAGCCAGTTAGACGGATAAAACCATCCTGCACTTGGCTTCATCGTGAATGACATTAGTTTCAACCGGATAAAAAACAGATTTGTTTGAACTCGTGGCGGATATTCAAGTGCACTATCTTTCTTTGAGAAAAGTCAAAATCTTCCCAAAATAACTGCAAATCTGTTCACTTGTCTCCAATACCATAATGTATGGCAACGATAACTATCACAGTTTAGACAATATCCAACTTTCTTCAACTTTAGCCATTAAAACAGACATCTCCTCAAGGTGAGCCTACACATACTGTGTGTGTCAAACACATACAGCAGCATAAACTGTTCACATACAGTCAAACTTAGACAGGCAAATTTCATAACTGTTATAAATTGCACACATAATTTGAATTCAGTCCAAGATAAAAACCAGAGTAAACTTCAATCTGTTATCAGTGCTTGTCCAACTGTAGTCTTTGTAGATACTAATCAGATGACCACCTACCTATGTAGAACCCCCTCCCTCCTCCAACCCCACCCATCCACCCATCCCCCACTTCACTTGGGCTACCAAGATGAGAGGTGCCTCTGAGCACAGCGTCAAACATCCAAAAATAATTATACCCTCCAGCCATGTTGACCTTGCAACATTACCAAACATTCAAGACAAACATTCTTGTAACTTACCTCAAGACATATTTGAATAAAGAATTTTCAAGCTAAACTTTACAGTAGTTCATTCACAAAGAGTTTTCAGTTTCATTGACAGAAAAACAGGAAAACTTTCCAAAACAAAATCATGTCCAACTGTGTCTGTGAATAAAGAACGTCAGTATGAACACCGACTGCTCAAACTTGAAGATGAAATGAAGTGTATCATTGCCGAACACACTCTCCTCCCCCCCACTGGAACAACAACATGGGTGTTGGTCCCGCCGATCAGGTGATGAAGGGTCATATTCATCAGTGTTCATAAATCATGCTCTTACTAAACCCTTGATAATTACAACAGACAACATCTCGTTTAAACATAAAGACCTACCTTAAACGTTGGACGGAAACGCTAGAGGTAATTACTCCGTGGTATAAAGCACAGGTACCACAAGTTAGCCGTCTGTTTTGCTTCAAGCTATCCCACAAAGCAACTGTTTTCCTGCACGTGAGTCGGTGAGAACACACTTCCTCTCAGAGCACTATTAGCTTCGGCAGGCTCGTTATAAGTCAGTTGACCGTAGCAGAGCTGTAAGGGAAAAACTGGGGTTACTTCCTTCACAACTGACAGAATTAGTGTTTAGTTGCACACTTGGTTAGCAGCAAAATACCTTCAACATTTCTGGAGATTTTCACTACAAAGTACCAGGCTAAAGGGTTCGCCATCAACGTACTTAAGTAGTTTTACTTCTGTTACTTGTTTCTCTGTCAGTGTATCAATATCGTGTGGCATTGCAAATGAATGAGTATTTAATTGCGAATTCATTTTTAACGTTTTTGCATAACAGGAGATCTTTTTATCGTTATTTCAGTCTTGTTTGTGAACGTGTATTTGTGTATTAAGCGTCTCATTGATTATATTTACTGGTTGAGGTATTACTAATATGTAGTTTATGAACAAAACAAAGACAAATCACATATTTCATGTTTACTTAATATTTAATTTAACTCAGTTACACAGAACTGGTTAATATTGCAAAACCACAGACAAGAATCTCCATGAATTCTTCAGTGGACAGATTGGGTGGAATTTGGCCCATATTCTGAGTGGAGTACAAAGGCCAAAGCATGTTGCGTGCACCTTGGTGTATTCAAAACTCAATCAAAAACCCAGGAATTCTTCCAGAGGGCCAATTCCACTCACCCCAAACCGGGGCAGACCAGGAGTGTTATCCCACAGCAGCTCCAGGAGCCTGGGAGCATGTGTTGAACACAAGTTCATTATCCAACATACTGAGTGACAATATGCCTGAGTTCACAGAACTGTGTGTGGGATAAACGTGGAACACCCTACTGGGAACATCCCACTTTGGCACCGAGGGGTCAGGTTTCTCCTTTTTTACCTCAGACTCTGCCCAATTTTTTCAGCCTTATCAGCAGTAGAATCAAATGAAAATCTTTTTCAGGAAATCTAAGCCTATTATTCCAGTTCAATGTAACAAAGGGTAACTTGGACCAGTTTCAAATAGATTTGGTTCTAACAACTCCTTTTTTACCCTTCTTTGAAAATGGAGTCTCCCTGAGGCACCTCTTGAGGTACTAAATGTCTTTTTAATACTTGCCAGGCATAGCATTGGGACACATGGCTTAAACACATAACCTACAGCCATAAGTCATAATCTACATATTAACTCTTTCAGAGGTAGCCAGGATGTATTCAAGATGTGCAGATACATACACAGTGATGCCTGATTCATAGCACATTGTGAATTGAAACTATATTAAAAAAATTATAAATACATGTTCCTTTTTCTTCCATGATTCAAAAAGCTATATGTACACAGAGATATAACATAGAAATAAGGGAAAACACAAGCTCCTTCATCACATTTACCTGGAAAACAGGTGTTAACATGAACCTAATGTATAGAGTGAGTGAGGTGGGTTTACAGCTGCTTCAAACAGTGTTTCAGTCATGTCAGCTTGATGTGAGAAGAAAGCCTAAAATGATGCAGGTCTGACCTGTTTCTCACTTTGGTCCTCGCACATGTTGCTGAAAAACCAAGAAACATAATCAGGGCCAATCTAGGATTCAAACCCACGTTCATATCTTTCTGCACGACTGAGGAAATTGTGCCCCCTGAGATAACTATGTCCCCTAGAGAGTGAACTTCAACCACCTTCACCCTCACTTCAATATTTGCCCACATAACTTGCATAGTCCAGGTGAGGCATGATATCACTACTCATAAGCTAATCATTTGGGGATAACGCCACACATTCAAAGCCAAGCCCGTTGTGGGCGAGGTCGGTTTGCAATGCAAGGTATGTGGTCCTCCAAAATCACCTGGCGACAATGTGATCAGGAATTAGGAGTAATGCAAGTCCTGTGTTTGTTGACTGCTTGGTAAGACAGTGCTGTGAAATATGTGGCACTACAGTGCCAGAACCACAGCAAAGGTCAACAGAAAGTGTGGTGTTTAGATGAGATGTATTGTGGGCCTCTACCACACGACCATGTCTCGGACAGTTTGTGTAAAGGAAGGATCAGGGGTCAAAGTATGGAATTTAATTTTTTTTAAACAGTTTTAAAGGGACCTATCCTTTATGTATAAGAACTCCAAGCAGTCAGTGAGATTGATTTTATGCCGCTTTTAGCAATATTCCAGCAATATCACGGCCGGGGACACCAGAAATGGGCTTGACACATTGTACCCATGTTGGGAATCGAAACCCAAGTCTTTTGTGTGACGAGCGAACGCTTTAACCACTAGGCTACCCGACCGCTCCAGAACTCCAAGCAGGAGAGTGAGAGTTCATGTTGTTTGATACACTGAAGTCAGATACATAGTCTGTGAGTAAGCAAGTCCGTAGTTTAAATCAGGACCAGGCAATCCAGTGATTGATATCATGAGCAACGGTCCAAGCTGTCAGGGCATGCTGACATTATGACCAAAGTCACTGAGCCTAGCCACCCAATTCATTAAGTGGCTTCTTACGACCAGCACAGGTTGCCAGGGACCACCGGGAATCCACTTGGGTTCATCAAGTGTGGACCAGTGGTCGATGCTATGAGCAGCAATTCTATCTATTACAGTATGATGACATGCCACCTCTTTTGGCAACTTGAGGCATGTCAATATGATTGCACAATCAAATCCTTGGCTTCTAAATGGAGGCAAATCACACTTCTGGCATGTTTTGAAAACACTTTAGCATCTAAGCTTACTACTGTTAAAAAACTGCTTGAAACAACAATCTATTGCAGTGGTTACACAATACACTAATACTCTGTTTCAACAGCAGATTATTCAAGCTAACCAACTAACAACACAGAGCCCTAATCAGTGCATCCAACAGTAGGGAATACACAACATGGACATATCTCATAATTTGATAAAGGTCTCACATGCTTTATGATTGCTTCAGCAACTTTCAATATCATCACGATACATTCATCAAGATGAAATCAAGCAATTTATTAATAATCAGAAAAAGAACTTAATTAAAGGAGTTGGTTATTGCAAAAAGAAAAATATTCTCAAAATATATTTCAAGCCCGCAAGATGAAACAAGATTACTCTCGAACAAAGACTGAAATAAGCCTGACGTCCTGCAGATCTGCAATATTTTTCTGCATGGGGACATGACCTTTGAGCCCTAACAGGGACCTTAGCACCAGATGCACACAGTATGATGCAAACTTCATTCTAAAACATTATCTCAAGTGATCTACTCAATTAAGCGCAAATCAGAGAACATATTGAAGCCTTTAAAATCAATATCCAATCAGCGATTAGATAAAGCTCTGAAAGATTTCTGACCAATCAAACCAGACGTACAATCAGTTAAATCAAACTTGGATCTAAAGAAGCGACCAATCGTAGTCAATATGTCTCAAGAGCAACCGGACCTAAATCTTCTATAATAAATGGTGCACAGCAGGAAACAGTTTACATCAGTCCAGCCATGCATGTCATATTGGAGAAAAATGAAATCATTTCAACATCTCAAAGATCTGTCGACTTTTGATCATAGGTGTGTAAAATCGAGATGGGGAAAGATGAATCAATATTTCAGTTATCTGCAGACAACTATCGCATAAGACTCCTTTCTAAACTCTTACTTCAACTTGTAGTTATAATCACATTAACCAACACTTGGCTTTTGAATTCATTACCTATTTTAATAAATGGTCCTAGTTTTCATTTTTACGTTTAAAAAAGTAAATGTTACATATATTAATATATATAATTAATAATAATAGGAAATAGTCCTCATAAATTTCACTGAGAAATTAAATTATTTATAAACACAGAATAAATCATTGTTTTACTACAAGATGACAAGATAGTATAGACAATCAACTTTTGTATAACAAATGTCAAACTATTCAATGCCACTCGAACATGTTACTATTTTAGTTGGAGAAATTATCCCAATGTTAACAAAGCAACTAAGAATTTTTCATGCACTTGCTACAACCCTGTTTTTTATAAAGTTAATCATAAAATGAAGGGTTAAAAGACAATATCAGCGACGCTGATGGAAGATTAGCCATGTTCCGAGTCAGCAATATCTATCTTGAATGACAAAGTCCGTGCTATCAATGATCAACATGTGCACAGATCTCTTTGCCAGCGTACAGGAAGGGGAATATATAGACATGTCCCTGACATCATCCCACCCTGAATGTAATATGATGGAGACACCAGCACTTGTACAAGAACTGATCCGTACATTCATCCCACCCTGACATCATCCCACCCTGAATGTAATATGATGGAGACACCAGCACTTGTACAAGAACTGATCCGTACATTCAGCCCACCCTGACATCATCCCACCCTGAATGTAATATGATGGAGACAACAGCACTTGTACAAGAACTGATCCGTACATTCAGCCCACCCTGACATCATCCCACCCTGAATGTAATATGATGGAGACACCAGCACTTGTACAAGAACTGCTCTGTACATTCAGCCAACCCTGACATCATCCCACCCTGAATGTAATATGATGGAGACACCAGCACTTGTACAAGAACTGATCCGTACATTCAGCCCACCCTGACATCATCCCACCCTGAATGTAATATGATGGAGACAACAGCACTTGTACCAGAACTGATCCGTACATTCAGCCCACCCTGACATCATCCCACCCTGAATGTAATATGATGGAGACAACAGCACTTGTACCAGAACTGATCCGTACATTCAGCCCACCCTGACATCATCCCACCCTGACATCATCCCACCGTGAACGTAATATGATGGAGACAACAGCACTTGTACAAGAACTGATCCGTACATTCAGCCCACCTGTATCTGGGAAACGTTTCAAGTGGATTTCAATAACAGTAAATTATGCTGTATCATCGCCATCTTCTACCCCCCATTTCCACAGTGTTGTTTCACCTCAATCTGTACATTCAGTGAGCATGTTAATACACTCTCCAGTCATCCACCTGTTCCAATCTGTAATCCGTTCTTTTGCAAGTTTATTTAACTACATGGAGTTTTGGAAACTGTTCAAATGTTAGTTTTTCAATGAAAAAAACAAAACTTTCCTAATTAGCGAGAA